CACATGTCCAACAGCAAACAAGAGAAAGCAAGGCCTCTCTCATGGTTAAATGCTTACTTGGCAAAACGTCAAGTATTAAAAGTAGATGTTATTCCAGTAATCCATGTTTTAATCTTATTGGGATGTTTCATATTTTGGACCACTGTGCCCTAGTAAACATTTATCATTTTACATTCCTTATTCCTGAGGAGGCTTTTGTGATTGTTTTAATGACCACTTGTTGTCCTTGAGCACATAGAAAAGTATAACTTTGTAGAGAATAAGCTGATTGTATGGATTCCAGAAGTGATGATGTAATCATGTATAAACATATAAATAAGGTAAAACAAAGGCTCTCACAGAATATGCAGGGCATATGTGCTTTAAGAATATCCACATATATAAAATAGAGCTAAGAAGGGGCAAAGTTATGATCACTTCTTAGCCACAGACAACCATCATGAGGGAGCAAATAGTTGGATGTGGGCTCTGGACCATGGTCACAGGGGACATCAAGCTCAATTGATGTAACATACTACACAAAAACATTGTCCTACATCCTACTCTGGTGAGTAGTGACTGAGGTCTTAAAAGCTTGCAAGTGGCCATCTAGATGTAACAACGGATCTCTCCTCATCTAGAGGAAAGAAGAATGAAGAAAACCAAAGGCACATGGAAACAATTAGTCCAAGGGACTAGTCCATACGAACCTCAGCCTATATGACCATGAGACCAGAACTAGATGGTACTCAGCTACCACTGTCAACCACTCAGAAAGGGATCATTGCAGGGGATACTGGATAGAGTGGGAGAACAATGTGGAACAAAATACAAAATGATGAAAAAAAAAAAAAGATCAGGTTTACTGGCCTGATAGAGCCTGGTGAGACCCCTAAGACTATGGCCCGTTGTTGCCCTTCAGGTCTGGAACTGAACTCACTCCTGTGGTTTCCAGCCAAACAAAGACAGGCATATAGGGTGAAAATTTGCATCAGGTAGACACACTCCTTAGAACAATCAATCATGGGAGAACAGATGGAGTGTTTGCACAGGGAGACAGCTCAGGGGGCAGGAATGTATAGGAAAGAAGGACACTGGGAAAAGGTAACTACAGGGAGGAAATGGGAAGAGAGCTGTTACACTGTGGGGAATTGTAGTCAATGTCATGAAACAAAATGTGTGCAAACTGCTGTATGGAAAATGAATTTACTCTGTAAAGTTTCACCCAAATCACAACAAAAACTTAAAAAAGAAGAAAAAAAGCAAGAGAAGGAAAAAAAAGAAAAAAAGATTGGAGGTTTATCCTATTAGCTTCTCTAAAGATCACAGCCTTGGAAGGCACCTTGGAAGGCTAGTGATTCTGAAAGTCAGCCATTGAAAACCCTATGGAACAGTTTACTCTGACATGCATGGGGTTGGAATTGACTGATGGCAACAGGTTATTGGTGCCATGCTGTGGGCCTCCAGTAAGATAGTAAACTCAGTTCCTCTAGTTTAAGTGGTTTAAACTCAAGTTTAAATGGTTCTCAAACTTGAACATACACTCAGAATCACCAGTAATCTCCAATCAAACCCACTGCTATCAAGTAGATTCTGACTCATAGCAACCCTATAGAGGACAGAGCAGAGCTGCCCCCATAGGGTTTCCAAGGCTGTAGCTCTTTATGGAAGCAGATTGCCTCATCTTTCTCCCATGGGGCAGCTGGTAGGTTCAAGTTGCCAACCTTTTGGTTAGCAGCTGAATGCCTCAACACCAAGCTCCCTGAATCACCAGTAACCAAAAAAAAAAAAAAAAAAAAAAAAACAACTCACTGCCGTCAAGTCGATCCCAACTCATAGCGACCCCTCCTTGGGTTTCCAAGGTGGTATCACTATGGAAGTAGATTGCCCAATCTTCCTTCTGAGCAATGGCTGGTGGGTTTGAACTGCCAGCCTTCTGGTTAGCAGTCAAATGCCTTAGGCACTACTCCACCAGAGCCACCAGTAGGGCTTGGTTAAAACACATATTGCTAGGGCCCACCTGCAGAGTTTCTGAGTCAGTAGATCTTGGGAATTGGGAAGTGACATTTTTGACAAGTTCCCAGTGTTGCTGATGCTGCTGGTGCAGGGACCACCCTTTGAGAACTGTAGTTTAGTAGTGTCCCTCTGCAGTGCTGTGTACCTTTCCTTTTCTGAAAGCAAATTAAAATTCATCCCAGTACCCTCCCACCTAGTAATAAAATATTTCCAAATATCTATACCTTTCAATTATACAATTTTCTTTTTTTATCGCAAAATATACCAAACATGCAATAGAGTCTATGCAATGTGTGTATACAGTTTCCTTTTAAAATTTCTGAAAACAAGCATTATTCACCACTCAGCTTAAGCAGCAAAATTTAACAAAATGTGTGAAGCCCCCTATGCACTCTGCCCCAGTCAAATCTCTCCACCCTGCCCTCACCCTCAGGTAACCATTATCCACAGTGTGGTGTTTTACCATTTCTTTGTGATAATTTCTAATTTTATCACATATTCATATAACTCTAAGTAGTATATGAACAATTGAAGCCCTTGCAAGTGCATTCCTTAGCTAATATTTTGTAAGAGGGAAAAATTATTAGGAAATCAAGTAACTATGAGCTTGTTTCTAATGCTGTCAAGAATTATGTAACAATCATTGCCTCCCATCTTACTCTCATATCTGAGAGAATTTGCCTGGCTTCCTGCCCACACCCTGAGTAACCATGCTTATGGCAGATGAAGTTGCCATTGGCCACAGATGATTGGCTGAGTAATTGACACCTAACTCAAGCTGTACCAGTGTGGCAAACCAAAGCCCATCACCAAGGCTAAATGATGGAGGAGCAGAGAAAATGTGTGTTAGCAGAGAGAAGAAAGAGAAGGAGCAGACACTGTGTTTCAGAGTGAAAGAATAGAAAAAGAAGTTGCCTGCTGAGTAATCTGGTCCCTTGCAGAGGCCTAGATGCTCTTTCACACTTTTTTCTGTGAGTAGCTTTTCATTAACTTTTCTTTCTGACTTGAGCTATAATAGGAAAAGGTCTCTGACTCTGACAATCAAAGAGTCCCTTTCTAAGACAGAAGTCCCTGGGAGGGGCAAGTGGTTAGTGTGCTCAGCTGTGAACTGAAACGTTGGCGGTTTGAGTCCACCAAGAGGTGCCTTGGAAGAAAGGCCTGGTGATCTATTTCTGAAAAAACAGCTATTAAAAATTCTATGGAGCACAGTTGTACACCGACACACACGGGACTGCCATAAGTTGGAATCCACTCAACAGCAACTGGTGTGTTTTTATTAACACAGTGAGTGTCATTATGCATCGTTCATGAGAGTAATCATTTTGTCAAAAACTGAGCTATGCTACTCCAGTATATAATTCATATGTACATGTGGAAGTAGAGTATATTAAACCAAATCCACTCCCATTGAGTCAATTCTGACTCAGCGATCATACAGGACAGAGTAGAACTGCCCCTGTAGGGTTTCCAAGGCTGTAATCTTTATAGAAGCAGACTGCCATGTCTTTCTCCCCTGGAGAAGCTGGTGGATGCTAACTTTAGATTAACAGGCCCATGCTTAACCACTGAGCCACCAGGGCTCCTCCTGGAGACACTTAGGAGGTCAAATTTACAAGATATAAGAACTGATGAGTTGAAAGGAATGACAGATAGCTGGCTTAGGGCACCAGATGGGTGATAATTTACCAAGAGAAGAAACAAAGGCAAGAAGCAAGAACTAGGGTGGGTGAGCAGATAATAAATTCGATTGTGGATGTTTTGAATTTCAGATCCCCGTGAGTCCTACAGTAGGAGAAGAACAATAGGTATGAGAGTATTTAGTTGCTGATTTTCATTGTTTAACAAACCTATTACAAAAAGCCCCTGCGGTGAATTGCTTGCCATGGCCCTTCTAGCCACTGTCCTCCATTCTGTGACGTATTATAAATCCTATTATCCAGGCCTGTTTGGGGTGGTGTGGTAGTTAGGGTCAGGTATCAACTTGGCTGGGCAGCTGGTAGTAGTCGTTCCCTATAATGACTGGCAATCAGCTCTGTGGTGGGATTTGCCTTGAGCTGCTGATTGTTAAAGCCATCCACTTAGGTTATTGCTGTTGGGGCAACACAGGTGGAATGTATCTTGCTTGAGTCTTGCCTTGCTGGAGGGTATAATTCAAGTCACCACCCTTAGCTTCCTTGAGGGTATACCTAGGAATCTCCTGGGAAGTTTCGCCCTCCTCTTGCTCAGTTTTGTGTTTTGGCTCATTCTCATCTCACCCCCTGGATTTGGGACAGCAGCCGTCATCTGATCTTCTGATCTGCTGATCAAGGCTCATCAAACCCCGAGAACTGGGAGGATCCTCCAGACCCACTCATGGACCTGGGACCCATCAGCCTGCCAGCCTCCACCACTACTACATGAGACAATCCTTTGGGTGTCTGTGAGTTCTGTGAGACATTACAGTGAAATACAGAACCCTAAGACGGGGGAAGTTACTGGGAGGAAGAGGAGAACTTAATGTCTAAATGACAGAGTTGCATGGTAGTTTGGACATTTGGGACATCTTTAACCTCTGCCTCATGGGGACCAGCCTTGTGCTATGTTTCTGAGAGAAATTGTTCAAGCAGCCCCACTCCTAATTTAGGTCATGCAACCCCATGTGTGCAGAGTAGAACTGTTCCATAGAATTTTTAAGGATGTGACCTTTTGGAAGTGGAATGCCAGGCGTATTTTCTGTCGTGCCTCTGAGTGGGTTCAAACCACCAACCTTTTGACTAGTAATCAATTGCTTAACCATTTAGGCCACCTAGGGACTCCTTCAGACTCAGCAGCAACTAACAACCACCACAATTTAGGTCAAAATATATGTCCTGTTTCCAACACATGATTCTTAGGTTAATCCTATGTTGTACATAGTTCTTCTTCAAATAATACCCCCAAAGAAATGTCTCTTGATTCCTTAGATGTTTTGGAAAATCGTCCATCTAGCTTAGCTTAAATCTGATCAGAGTGCGAATATTACTAACCTGTTCGGAGACAGGCCAGATTTGCAAGCCACCACTCTGGGATCCTGGGGAGAATTACAATTACTCGATCTCCCCTTTGCAGGGCACAGGCTTCTGTAAGTATATTGGCAAATTTCCTGGACAAAGATCCCAGTTCCTCAAAACTCCATCTCACCTCTTCTCCATTTCCATGTATCCACCAGAAGGCTGGAATGGAAGGCCTCTTTCCAGCCTAAGGAAAGAGAAAGCAGTCATGGGTTTTAAGGTGGTTGTACAGTTAAATTCTACTTTGGGTGACTTAATGGAATATTTTCTCAGAAGAAAATTCACAAGTCATCAGTTACAACATACTTGGATATCTGGAAACACCTTGGAGTCCTTAATTCTTGATGTTGGGGAAGCTATGTCATATCTTCTGGCCAATGCCATTTCTCATTTAGTCTGAATGTTCTTTCCAAAAAGTTAGAATTTGTGCATTCATTTATGTTTCTCTCAACACAGTATCTATACTTCATTTCTTACCATCTCTGACTCTTAGAATCACTTTCACTGTCTTTTTTTTTTTAAAGCCAACCTAGAATCATACATTTGTGTAACCCAGAGTTTCTCAACCATGGAATTACTGACACTTTATTGGAGTCCCCAGGTGGTACAAAGGTCAGCATTCTCAACTGCCAGATGAAAGGGTGAATGTTCTGTTTTACCCAGAGGCACCTTAGAAGAAAGGCTCATGATCTATTTCTGAAAAATCAACCACTGAACATTCAATGGAGTACAGTTCCCCTCTGACACACATGGGGTTGCTACAAGTCAGAATCCACTCCATGGCAACTGGTTGGGTTTGGTTTCTTAATTCTTTGTTGTGAGAGTCTGTGCCATGCACTAGGAAGTATATCAGGATTCCTGGCCTCTACTCACTAGATGGGAGTAGCATCTCTCCCATCCCAGTCTTGACAACAAAAATGGCTCCATTGCCAAATGTCTCCTGGGGCAAAATTCTCCCAGTTGAGAACCACTGATGTTGCCTGACTGACCCTTGCTCCATACCTTTTCTACATTGGTCCACTGATCCAGAACATTGTTGGCAAAGTTGAAATATTCTGGAATCTCCAGTTTGAACTCTTGCTTCATAGATTCATAATTGGAGAAATTCTGAGGAGTCATTGCTCTGTAAGCTTTATGTAGTGCTCTTATAGAACCAGGGGTTACTAGTTGCTGAAAACACTTGGCACGAAGTAATATCTCCATGGTGACAAGATGTAGCATCAGTCTTGGATGTTTTTGCACTCAGGATTTCTACAGTGACCAATTCGTCTGAAAAGACAAGCAAAAAGGACACGTGTTTGTTGATGTATTGAAAGTAGCCAGACATTAAAACAGCTAAGTTTTATTATTATGCATCTTGCTAATAATTGTTACAAATAATATATATATTATTATAATAAACGTAGCAATCATCATAATAGTTACATTTTCTGAGCACTCACTGTTACAAACACTGTGCTCAGTGTTTTCCATACAATTTCTCATTAAATCCTCAGAATAACCCTGAAGTTGGTGCTATTATCATCCCCACAAATGGACAGGGGAAATGAAGCTTGGTGAGGTTGAGGATTCATAATGATAAAGAGCCAGATGTTGGATTTGAACCCAGAACTGTCTGGTTCCAGCCCATTTTCCTGACTGCTATAGACTCCTGCCCCTACCTGTTTGTCAGTTTGTTGTAATGTGATGGCTTGAGTGTTGCTATGATGCTCGAAGCTATGTCAGTGGTATCTCAAGTACTAGCAGGGTCCCCCAGGGTGGACTGGTTTCAGCAGAACTTCCAGACAAAGCCAGAACAGAAGAAAGGCCGGCAATCTACTTCCCAAAATCAGCTAATGAAAATTCCACGGATCACCACAGAGTATTGTCTGACACAGTGCTGGAAGATGAGCACTATCAGAAGCCACTCAAAATACAGTGGCTGCAACAGCAGACTCACAGGACCTGGTAACGACTCCTTCTATTGTGCACGGTGTCGCCGTGAGTCCAAGCCAACTGATGGCAACTAATAACACATGCATTTCTAAAGGAAGGATCTGGGTCATCCAGGCCATTACTCTCACTGAAAGCAAAGGGGTAAGTCTTTTTATCTAGTATCTTTCATCTGCACATTTCAAAAATAGTTCACAAATTTTAAGGAGATTTTCACAGTAGAAATCTAATCCATATATGAAGAAACTGAGAGTACCCTAGTATCTAATTAAGCATGAAAGTCCTGTCAAAGATTTTGAATTTATAGGCTGTAGTTCCCACTCTCCCAATAGGAGCCCATGCTACCTTCAAGTCTAGGTTTGGAGAAATTGGCTTAGACTGTATTTACAAGATGTAATGACAGGGCTTTTAGCCTTTAGGACTTTTATGGAGGAGGCCCCTCCAGGCAACCCACCAGTCCCTGCTTCTGTGGGAAATTATTTGATTACTATGTTAATTACTTTTCTGAAGTCTCATAAATGAGACTGTTATAAATGCAATTTTAGGAATGACGATGTATGAGGTTCTCTCTACTTTTGGTAATTTTCCAGATTATCTACAGGGAACGCTGGTAGTGTAGTGCCTAAGGCACTTGACTGCTAATCGGAAGGCTGGTGGTTCAAACCCACCAGCCACTTCTCGAAGGAAGATGGGGCAATCTACTTCTGTAGTGATACTGCTTTGGAAACCCAAGGAGGGTTAGCTATGAGTCAGGTCCGACTCTACAACATATAACAACAACAACCTACAAGAAACATACATTGCTCTCACAATTATTAAACCATAAGGGTAATAAACTGGTCTATTTTTAACTGCAATTCTAGCTATGTGCCTGGTAAGGCAGCATGGCTATGTGGAAGCATTACTGTATTGATACATTGCCAAAATAATAATTAATGACAGACACAGCCTTAAGTTTTGCCCTAAATGTGTTTTTTTTTAAAAGTTTTGCCCTAAAGGTGTTTGGGCATCATGTTAATGCACTCAGTGCCTCAAGAGGTCTGGGTACTTCTGATGCTCTTACCTGTTTGTGTGAGGACCTGCCAAATCAGTGAACTTGAACATGGGGGAGCATTTGGTTGGGCCTCCTCATTTTTCCCCCGTGAAGAAAACAACCCCAGAGAAGGGAAGCAACTTGCTTCCATGTGTCATGTCAGAGCTAGAAAAAGGACTCGGGTCTTTGGATTCCTACTTGAATGCTCTCTACAGAAGAGTTGTCCAACCCTGGATGTATATTTGAATGACCAGGAAAGTTTTTTTTAAATTGCTGGTGCCTGGGTTTTGGAACAATGAAACCAGAGTCCCCAGGGATACAGCCCGGGCATCATATATTTGTCTGAAAGTTCCTCAGAGGATTCCCAGGTTGAGGATCACTGGTCTAGAGGCTGTGATCTATAAACCAGCAGCATCAATATCACCTGGACAATTGCTAGGAATGTTCTCAGGTCCCATTCCAGACTATTGAATGTGCAGGTTTTAACTTTTAAACAAGATCCCCTGTTACAAATAATATATATTATTATAATAAACATAACAATCATCCTAATAGTACCATTTTCTGAGCACTCACTGTTGCAAACACTGTGCTCAGTGTTTTCCATACAATTTTTCATTAAATCCTCAGAATAACCCTGAAGTTGGTGCTATTATCATCCCCACAAGTGGACAGGGGAAATGAAGCTTGGTGAGGCTGAGGATTCATAATGGTGTGCACATTAAAATATGAGAAGCCCTGGGCCATAGTATGGTTGCTTAACACATTGGTTTCTGAATCATACAGTCATTGGATAGGGTCCCAGTTTTGCCGCTTGAACTGTTCTCAATCTAAGTTTCCCACTTTACCAATGGGGAAAACAACAGAACATTGGACAGAGAGTTGCTCTAGAGGTTAAATGAGATAATGCATGAAAAATGCTTATCGTAGTGCCTAACATATTACTGTCCAATAGAATAGGGATTGACATGCATTTTCTGTAGGGCCAGATAATAAATGTTTAGGTTTGCAGACATAAGAACATTTGTTTCACTGCAGAAGATCCTACTGGACTGCACTGGTCTTTATTAGTAATAGCTCGGAACTGGATTGATATGAAACATTAAGATACAGGAAAATTGACGGGTAAATCTCCCAAGATAGGATTTGTCTAAGGGTTTGGGTTTAGTAAAATGTTAGCCACTTTCCTCTTCCCTAAAATGCTGTAAGAGAAGACATGTAAACAGACATCTCTTGGCAGTTCTCTTAGGCTCCAGGTGAAGAGGCTGTTCTTCAGAACACAAATAAAATCATGGTGAGACATGAGGTGCGTCCTCAAGTCCCCAAAAGTCATACTGTGTTGGTAGAGGGGGAACCGCCTGTCTGTGTTTTCTGGGAATGAACAGGAGCAAACATCCTCACTCCTGTAAGGATGAATGAAGGCACCTTTGCAACTTTCTCTCCCGGGAATCTTGCTTTTCCTTTTCCCCGTGGAGTCCCTTCATGAGCCTCTGCACATGACTTCTAAGGCATAGTTATTTCCCTTCTCACAGAATTAGCAACTGAAGGAAACTGAAGTTAAATAGTCAACACTCAGTTTTTAGATCTAACTTCTCTCTTTGTTTTTAAATTTATTTTTGTAGAATGTCTTTAAATACTTCAAAAATATAAAAATCTGCCTCCTATCTCCAGTGTTGTAGCTGCCTCGTGTACCCCACCCCTAGCCCCAATGTAACCACTATTACTATTTTTCTGTCTCTCTTCAGGGTTTCTTTATGTGCATTCAAGCAAATATGACTATAGATTGTTATTTCACCACCATTTTACACAATAGGTAGCCTAGAATACATACTATTTTGTGCTTAAAAAAAAAAAAATAGCACTGTGTGTTGGAGATCTTTCCACATCCATGCACAAAGATCTTCCTTACTCTTTTTGTTTGTTTTGACAGCTCCGTGGAATTCCAGTGAAGAACTGCACCAATTTTCTTAAACCAGTTCCCCATGGATGATCATGTGGCTTGCTTACATTATCTGACAACTTAGATGAAAATTTGAAACTATGTCCTGATTCTTTCCGTCATTACTTAGATGTAACAACAAGTTGATAATTAAGTTAATATTAAGTTAAAGTTAAAATTAAGTTAAAATTGATATCAGTTAAAGTTAAGAAGTATCAGGGGAAAAAATTCTCTGATTTTATTAAAATAAGCAGGAATTTGGATTGGTTACAGCACATGTTTTGGGGTCACATTCTCAGTAAGTTGGAATGATTAATTCATTTACTCAAGAAATATTGATTGGTCACCTAGGATGAACTATTTCAGGCACAGAAAACACAGAGGTGAATGAAAGGCAAAGTCCTCCTTGCTCTTACAGGGAGAGACAAGTCAATGAATAAATGTAATTGTTGTTGTTGTTGTTGTTATGTGCCGTCGAGTCGGGCCCCGACTCATAGTGACCCCTCCTTGGGTTTCCGAGGCAGTATCACTACGGAAGTAGGATTGCCCAACCTTCCTTCCGAAGAGTGGCTGGTGGGTTTGAACCGCCAGCCTTCTGGTTATCAGTCAAGTGCTTTAGGTGACATAAAAAAAAGCAAAAAGTGAAATAAGGTACAAGAGAGATCTGGCCGCCCTGTGCTAAGCACTTTTCATTCGTTATTATTTTCTTTATATAGACAAGAACACACACCCCACAAGCACAACTCTCCAATATGGAAAATGCATTCATTCAATTACCAGGTATTTCTTGAGCACCTACTATGAACCAGATTTGTAGATAGCTAAAAATAGAGTTGTGAACAAGACACAGATGGTCCTTACACAAATACTGATATCTTATCACTGAGGATAAATATACCACATCCAACTTGCTGATACTGAGTAGAATCAGAGTTTATCAGTACAATTTCTCCCCCAGCCCTCGTATAAAACTCTTCACCACATTCAGAATCCTTGTAACACATGATGAAAAGAAAATGGGCCAATCATTTGAAGCTTAAAATGAACCTAACCATTCTGTTCTACCAAAAAGAAAATGCCAATACCCTCCTCAATATCGCCTTCCCTCCAACAGACCTACTTCTGTCTCTTCAGTGATCTTAGCATTTTATAATACCCATTTTCCAGGTTTCCAAAACTCGTTGTTGTTGAAGGAGCTGAGACAACTTTCCCAGTGTGAACTGGGTCACAGAAATTTTGCTAAGGAAAACTCTTTTGAGAAAGACAGTGCCACTTCAGTCAAATGGGATTTGGAAAGAATTGAAGATCTCATCTGGA